CCTTCATACCCTCGAGCAAATACTTCTGCTTTCAATATATGTGAAGTTCTTGTGTTGTTTGGTTTTTTGTTAGGTTGGATTTGCTTGTTTAATTATTGTAAAGTATTGGTAGTTATCCAGTATGTTTATCATAAGTTCAAGAACAATAGATCTTGCAGCTGAAATCACTCATCTGCAGAGATTAAATCTACTTCAGCCTTAGCTTGAATTTAATCAAAAGATTACACAAGTTGCCAAATCTCTTAACAGAAGCTATAGAGACAATGGGCCTCAACAAAGACTCTAAGTAGCAGAAAGAAACCTGAAGGCAGGCTGTTCATTTCTGAGAGTCAACAAGAAATGCATTCAACATTTTCCTTTGATTGTCTGAAAGAATGAGTAAAGAACAATAACTTGTTTCAATCTTTTTGTAGTAGAGCCATTTCATCCACAAAATTTGCTGCTCTTTCAGAGTAGAAAGTATATCCTCCTTCAGGTTTAGCTGTGCCCCCATTTCTTTTATGCTGTTTCTGGAGACGGGAGGAAGCGAGGCAGGAAACAGAGTGATGAACTACCCCATAATGAATTTGAATTGCAACGTTTTTGGGAAAAAATCTGCCCAAGAAAAGACAAAGTTTTACCTTAGGGAAGGTAGAACAGTTTACTTACCATTTGCTATAAAGTTCAATGAAGATAAAGATTAGCTCAAACCTGTTCAGTTACATGCCAAATGGGGTGAGAATACAGCATATCAGGTAATATATGATGACCTTGGAAGTTTTGTTAAGTTGTAACAACACTTGAAATAATTTATGAAATATCTTCTGATGAATAAAAGAGACATTTGTATGTTACTACATATAAAAACATGCTCAACTATACAGAAGTCTACTTTTTAAAGTTCCTACATCAACACAATTCCTCTTCAGGTAATGTAACCAGCAGTCAATGGCTGGACACAGTTCTCCATTTGATGGCATCTCTTAAGAAATAGCTTCGTATCTACATGTGATATTCTCTGAGGAAACCATAGTCCAGTGGGGATTTGCATGTCAATAAGCAGAGGTTTTTATATTTCATGAATAGGAATAGATAGCTTGGACTTTAACAGACACATTTTGGAATGTCATACGCGTAACTCTAGTATAAAGAGTTGCACCACAATTTATGCCACCATTCATCCTTGTTGCACACACATATTTTGTTAAGCAGAAAAGGAATGTCCTCCCAGAAAGGAAGGAAAACAAAACAAATTAACCCATACAGCTTCACACATCCCTGACTATCCAGACAAATCCACTCCTTCACACCCTGTAAAACACAATTCATTTACTGCTAGGTTCTCTTCGGAAGTGCTGAATCACCCCCTCTTCCAGTGACTTGAGCTTCATTTCACTTCGTGTCTCTTGTACAACTTAAGACCACGGCAAAGCCCTATACGCAGAGCTCTTCGAAGCACGCTCAGAAATCAGGCCTCTGCCGAGCGTGGGGACAGATACCTGTACTTCGGTCACAGAGTGGATTGCCGCTTCATTCACATATTCCCACATGTATGGCCTCTAAAGGTTACATATGCCATAAAGCAGTGTCCAGTGGTTCAGGGCAATTTTAACCCTCAGCTTAACACCACCACAGCCTACAACCAGGTAAGCGCTCACATCCTAGACGGCAACTCAGTAAGAAGAGAGAGAGTTGGTAACAATTAAAAGCAGCCCACAATTTCACAGACGCTTAGAGGGCTACAGGACTCACTCAGGGGAGCCTGAACCCCACAGACACGCCCCGAGTGAGGGGACATGCAGGCAAATAAGGGAACGTTTGGCAAAAGGGGAGCAGAGGAAGTCTCCCATAGATAGCCGTCTCCGGGCCGGGAAGGCGAACCGACGCGAAACGAACCGAACCGGGC